TAGAATTTTTGAAGAAAAAGGAGGAAGAAATGTAAGCCAAGTGTTTAAGTGGTTAAGTATATATGATGAGCCGTTAATTAATTAATACAAATACTGATTTTCACATAATAAAAATGGTTAATCTCATATAATTCTATTGTGCTATGTGAACAAATTAAATCTCAGGTGAAATGGTTTACGTGTCGGTAGTGACTCGTGAGCCTCGCTGTATATGTTTGGTGAGTAGTTTTTAGTTTTGTAAAATTCTTTTGTACATACTATAAGTAAATAACTACGATGTGAAAAGCCGTAAAGGTTGGTATACATAATTTTCTATAGTTTGTTACATAATTAGCCCTAAGATAGAATGTTACATGCATGTTCTAAATTATAACTTGCAGAAAGAGGCAACTCAAACAAACTTGTATCTATCTTAATTGGTTCATTGTTACCACAAGGATGTGGTTTTTTGTGCTCTAATCTATAAGACTATTACGCGTTACTCAATGTCCACCTCTAAAAATACTACTCCGTACTTTTCATCTCACCTAAGAGCAACATTAGCGAAAAGTAGTCTTAAGTTTTGAATTTTGTTAGCCTCTGTTCACTTCACCTTAAAAAAAAATAGTATTCAGTAAAAATAATTTCATTTTAGCAAAAATAACACAAATTCTTAGCTACACACTAGTGCAGCTAAGCTAGATGCAACAACCTTAAATATGAACATATAGTACATAAGAAATGAACATACGTTTTTTTCTCTTCCTTATATCTTTAACTATCTCTCTTCTTCTTTTTTAGCTCTATTAATTTTCTCTCTTCTGTTTTCTTCTGATCAATTCAGAATTTTCTCTCTCCTCTTTTTTTTCCTTTCCTTATAAGTTTACCTCACTTTCCTTCAATCTTTAAACTTCTTTGTTCTATTTCGGATATCCTCCAATTCATTACCACTGTAGCATTTTCCATCGTCATCATCTTCACCGTGATCGTGAATCTTGAGGTGATTTTGATTTTTGTGTGTGTGTGTGTGTGTGTGTGTGTTTATAAATAAGTGAATGTTGTAAAATTGTTGATTTCTATCAATTTTGCATTTGTGATTCCAAATCTATCATGTTATAGTTCGATAATTATTGTCTCTATGATGAACCAAGATTAGATTTATGATGGATTTTTAAATTTTTAGAGTTAAAATAATTACAATCGAACTTGTGTATAACTTCTATAAAAAAAATGAACACGAACTACTTTAAAATTGAATAATTTTGTACAAAATGAACATTTAGTACACTAAAAATGAACAATTAGTAAATAAAAAATGAACATATTATTTTAACGAATTGTTTTATCTTTATTTTTCGTAAATTATTATATACAATGAATTTGAACCTATAAGAATATATGAAAATCATGTTCATTTTTAATATACTAAATGTTCATAATTTTTTTTAACGTGTTCATTTTTTAAGTGTTTTTTTTATACTAAATGTTCATTTATTTAATGTGTTCATATAATATTATGAAATATTTATTTTATTTGGTATGGTTCAGGTATTTTATGGTTGTATGATAAATGTTCATTTCTAATATACTAAATGTTCATTTCTTTTTTGACGTGTTCACTTTTTATTACTAAATGTTCATTTTTTTACATGTTCTTTTTTTTATTACTGAATATTCTTTTTTTTTTTAATATATATGTTCATTTTTTTTTACTAAATATTCATTTTGAAGGTCGTGGTCTAGCAAATTTATGGTTATATGATAATCATGTTCATTTTTAATAAATCATCATTTTTTTATAACATGTTCACTTTTTAGTATTAAATGTTTATTTTTTTACGTAATCATTTTTTATTATTAAATGTTTTTTCTTTCATGTTCATATTTTTTAACTAAATGTTCATTTTATAAAGCGTGGTGTTGATTTGGGCGGATATGTTGTATGGGTTATTTGATTTGGGCCGCGCGTTTTGGGTCTCCCTTTGTTGCAGCTAGAATAGCTACATAAGTATGCAGCTAAGACCCAATGAATAATTTCATTTCAACTAAAAATAAGTTCAGTTCTGATCAGCAGAAACTATGATGGGCTTCTTAAGTTCTTATTACAATTCACAAATTGAATTAATTACAAGAGAGATTAAAAGCCCATTTCCACACAAAGCCCATTCTAGAGTTGCAAGACTAACAACCATGAGTCCATGACAACTTGGTATGTAGTTAGTTATTTTTGTTTTATTATTATTTTTTTTGTTTTATTATTTTTTTTTTTAGTCTTGAAGGGTATATAATGAATATGAGATTTAATTTCAACTTTTCGGGTCACTCTACAACGATTTTTAAGTGAGATACTTGGCATGTTTCTAAGGATAATTGGAAGCTACTTATTAGATAAATGAGACTTATACAATTGAATTATTGTTGCACATTACTATAGACTGGAAATTTAGGAATTTACGGATACGAGTATGTAAAATCATACTTGTACTATGTATAAACATATGTTTAGCCAAGTTGTAAACTTATATTGTGTTCATTGTGTTGTTTATGTATTTAATCCTCTAAAAAATTATACCAATTTAAAGCTAACTTCTTCATTTCCGTAAATAATCACAAATTTAATCATTCACAGAAGTTTACCTAAAGTAAGTACTCGTACTTTCTTACATCATGGTATATCTAAAAGTAAGAACACCCAACTTTATATCTAGCATAGTAGCATTCTTGTTTAATGGGAGAGATTCATATGAGCAAGAAAATAGTCTATAATGTTAAGTTAAAATGTTAAATAACCAAACACATTGTTCCGTAATAAAATGTGTCCAAATTTGGTATTTTATACTCCCTTCGTCCCTTAATGATAGTCTCGCTTGGTCAAATTTTAGTCCCAAAATTTTCACCCCATTTGCTCTTTCCAACAACCATTAATCTTAATTTTTTACCAAAACTCCCTCCAATTTGCAACAATATTTGTGCAAATTTAACTTTTCCATGTAAATTTTGCCTTTTCATGTACTTTTTTATTTCCTCTCTCTACTTTTTTGCATACCCAATATAAATTTACCTTTCCAATGTAATCTTAATACTTTTTATTTATGATTATTAATTCCCGTAAAAATTGTCCATAAGGGGCGATCTGGTATGGTGGTTTTTAGTGGTTTCGTGGGTGGTGGTTTTGTGTGGCAAGAGTTCCAAAAGGTGGTGGTTTCGGTGGATGGCTTCGCTGGGGGGATTTGGTGGTTTGCTGGTTTTTGTTGGTTTCATGGATTGTCGTTGATTTGGGTTTGGTTGTTTGGGTTTCGGTGGTGGTTTTTTGGGTGTTGCGTAGGTGGGCTAGGGTCTTTGTCGACCTAGATCTTGTTTCGGTGGTGGTTTCCTTAGGGGGATTTGGTGGTTCATGTCTAAATCTGGGTTCGTGGGGTGGTGGTGGTTTCAGGTGGTAGTCGTTCGTTAGTGGTGGTTCTGGGTAGAAGTGGTTCGTTGGTGGTGGTTTTGAGTTCTAGATCTGGGTTCATTCGTTGGTGGTTCGTTTGTGGTAGTGGTTCATTCGTGGGTCATGGGTGGTGGTTCTGGGTGGTAGTGGTTCGCTGGTGGTGGTTCTGGGTGGCGTGGCGCGTTCTATGGTTATGGTGCGTTCGTGGGTGGTGGTGATGGACTTTTGGTTGTTTAATTGATTTTTTTTAATTTTGATTAACCCTCTCTCCTCCTTAATTACATCATTTCATGCCCTTGCTTTTCAATAATTATGTTTAAAAAGTTTTGACTTGAGAACCGTGCTCCCCCCTTTATTGTAACAGATAAGAAACGGAGGGAGTATTATATATTGGTAAAAAAAAATTAAGTTAATGATGACATATGAAAAATCCTAACTCTAGCTTATAAAAAAAACGGAGGGAGTATTTTTTTTTTTTAAGCTCGAGAAGTTACTCCTATATATCTATCCATCTATTAATACTATATATTAAAGTAATTACCAGAATTATCCCCAAATTACATATGTCGTGTGCACAACAAAAAATTTCCCGCCAAAAACTTTTTTAAAAAAAAATATTCCTTAAATATAAGAGAATATATAGCCTAAATGACCCAAAAAATAGAACAATAACAACTACTTTAAATAAATAAAATATTTATTAGTCGATAATCTATAAAAATGTATTCCCTTGAATCTTTACTCATTAATCTATAAAATGTATTGTTTGAAAAAGATTTTAACTCAATTTTAAATTCATGACTTGTAAGCAAATTACAAAATAGAGATACTCTACATTAACGTATCTCATCTGTAATAATTTGATAACATAAATAGTATTTAAATGTATACACAATTTATAAACAATTACAAACTTATAATAATTTATATAAAAAAATATTCCTATGAATATCCGAGCGTTGCTCGGGCAAAGAACTAGTCTATTTACTATACTTTCTTTGTTTTTTTTTTAGTTGACACGTTTCTTTAGTCACGTTTACCAATGCACAACTTCAACCATTAATATCTTTAATTACCATTATAAAAAGTTAATATTTTGAAAATATATATCGTGACGATTCTAACAAGATCTCACACAACTATATGCTAAAACACAATCAAAGGGGAGTGAGTAAATAGCGCTAAAATCAAAACGTGTCAACTATAATAAAAAACGGAGGTAGTATATTAAAAGACGTTCCTTTCAAATGAAAGGAACGGTGCCACGTGACACTTTTCAGACTGCATGCGCCATGTCACTGTACAAAATATATGCACCACGTAAGCTTGCCACTTTATTGAACAAAATAAATTATGCTTTGAGCTAGATTTGAATCTGTAACCTCCAACACATAAAAGTGATACATTTACCATCTCAACCAACTTTTATTAATGTTTTATATTTGCATAACATTATATTTATATATTCTTTTCATTTATTAAGTAAATTAAATGTCCTAAAAAAAAAGTAAATTAGAGGTCATGTAATTTATTTATTTTTCACAATATTAGAAATTAAATTCATATGAGGTAAAAAAAAAAGTGACATTCGAGGCAACGCCTAGAACATACATAGCTATACAAACAGTCGAACATAATTATCAAATTAAAAATGTATAAACTAGCAATTCGGAGCATCGCTCGTACCACGCACTGGTTATATTAATGGTTAACCTCTCGTACCACGCACTAGTTATATTAATGGTTAACCTTAGAACGAATACGAAAAACCAGGCCTGTTGGACAATCATACAAATTAATACTCCGTACTGTATTATTAGCCCAAAAACTGAATCTATTTCGTCTACACCAGGCCCGTTGGACAATTTTGTTTGAATCCATTAAAAAAAGAAAAAAATCAAGATCAACAACCTTGGTAGCTTGATGTTGACAATCTTAAATTTTTCAGAAAATGCTCCCCATACACTCTCTTCCACTTACTTGTATTTTTACTTGTTGAAAATCATGAGAATTAAGATAAATCTTTCTGCTTTTCAAACTTTTCGATCATAATACTATCTGTAGATATCATTTATATTTCTGGATTTTTTTTTTTTTTTTTTTAAATTGAAATTTACTGGTCTTGATTGAATGTTACACAATAATCCAGGAATTTTTAGGTAAATTAAGCAAATGGGTACTGCTCAATTTTGGAAAAGATTTATTCTTTTAAGTAATTTTCTGCTGCTGCTGCTGCTCTTTCTAGTGGATTCATCTGATGCTGAGTTCAAGGTAAAATTTTCCTTTTTATATCAATTAGTTGATTTTGTATACTTGTATATATTATTAGTTGCTCAATTGTTAGATTTTATAGTAATATTGTGTGTATTTTTGGTAATTTAGGTCAAAAGTCCTTTAATAGCTAACAATAATGGTACTAGAAATTCAAATAAGCAAGTGGAGAAGGAAGAACAATTAGAAAATTCAAATGGGGTTTTTCAGAAAGATCTTGGTAGGAGCAATATTAGTGAATCATTACAGTCGAAAGATGTTCAGGATCAGGAAATTCATGATGGTAGTAGAAAGGATGAATCGAAGAATAAGGGTGATGAGAGTGGCAACAACTTAGAAGGGTTAGGAGAAGTTGATTCTAAAAGTGAGGTTAAAAGAGATGGCAATGAAGATTCAAATGGCTTCTTGATAGGTATGGAGAAGGAGAAGTCGCGAGACGATGAATGTGATCCATCTAACATGTGTGTTGACCCAAAGAAGAATTTAACTGCCTGTTTAAGAGTTCCTGGAAATGGTGAGTTTTGTTTGATTGAATGTTGGCATTTGAAATTCAATGGATGTGCAATGTTTCTTGTTTGTTGATTGATGACTTGGCATTGTTCCATATGCAGCAAGTTTGCTTTTCATTGCTTTAATTCATCACAGTAATTGTCTCATACAGCTTAATTGGGACTATATCTTAAATAAATTTGTGAATTTGTACATCGTATTTTTATATTTTGATTTCTGTATGTTCTCAAGCATAATTATGTTGGTAGAGCTGCTGCAGAGAAAAGCTAGTGCTAAAGAAAATGATTTTGCCTGCACCTAAGTTTGGTGTTTGGTCGTTCTTGTTGAGGATACATTACAATATTATAATGAAAAATAACCATTACTTGAGTAATTTAGCAAATAAGAGTTGGGTGTGTTGTTAAAGCCTTGTGAGAAATTTAAGTGTGGGTTTAGATTATCTAAGTGATTATTCGTTGCCTTTTGTTAGAGGTGGGGGGACAAGGGGAATGAGAAAGAAATCATATTGCTGACACAAAGTAACAGGATTCTTAACTAGTTTAAATGTAATAGTTGTTGTCACTTGTGAGCATACATTCTTTTCTTTAAAATAAATCTAAGCTTCTTTGTAAAGCCTTAGGTTGAAAAAATAATGTCTGAATTCATAAAGGGTTCTACTTGTGATCTTTGGAATGATAACATCATTAAGAATTAAATTTCAAATGTTGCCTGATGGTAGGTGATTTGAAATTATAATAAGTTATCAACCCATAGATAAAGGATTTGATGAGTATGGTTGACCATATTGTAATTTGGTATTTCCAGTTATCGATGCAATATCAACATCAGCATCCATGTCTCTAAAGAGAATCTTGTAGTATTGCCAAAGGTTAGGAAATTGGATGAAGACATTTTTATGTCTCACAAAGAAGCTCTTTCCATGTGCTTCTAAAGTAGACTAGGGCGGCTTTATTTTGATTATTTATTAGCAAGGCTTCAGTCATCACTTGAAATCTCTTGATGTGAACTTATGTGTATTTCTTAACCTTAAATTTAACTTATATGAACTAGCCCAATTATATTTGTTGTTGTAATGAACTTGTTAGCCCTCATCCTTTATTTATTTTATTTTTTTTATTTTTTTTTATTTTTTATGTAAAAGAGTAAGTGCCTTCATTATGGATCTATAGCCCTTAGTCAAAGAACAGCACTTTCACTTCCGTTAAATGAACCAAATTAATTGGTGTTCAAAGCTTAGTAATCTAGTTTGCTGCACTAATATTGGTATCATATCATAATCACTGGATTCTCGTTCAGTGGTCTTCAGGCTATTTGATGAGTCTTGGTGTTCAAAGCTTAGTAATCTAGTTTGCTGCACTAATATTGGTATCATAATAATTGGTACCATTGTATTGGAGTCTTCAGGCTATTTGATGAGTCTCATAAATAGCCTGCAAGGACTGTAAACATTTATTTTAGTACAGTAGTTACTGTTTCCATCCTATGAGCCTTAAGATGTTATAATAGAAGATTAGGATTTTGGTTGGGATCCTAATGGAAAATCTTATTTTGTTTTACATGTCTTGTGGGAGGGAACAAAATAGACTTTGTTACTTCTGTTAATTGCTTTTCGATTAGTTAATACTTTGTTTGATGGGACTTGTGGTTCCAATTTGAGTTAGCTAGCTAGTTGGGCTAATTTGAGCATTAAGTCATGAACTAACTTAGGCTTAACTTGGGCTATGAGTTGAGTTAGAATCTTTGATTTTACTGTTTCCTATTCTTAATTGAGGTAAGGACCTAGTACTATTATATTTATAAATAAAGAGATTCACTCTACTTTGAAGATGGATAGTTGTGAATAAAACTTGTGTTCTTAGCCTTTTGCTATAACATTGAGAATCAAAATCAGGAGTGAATTCAGAGTATAGAGTTTGTCTCTCATCAGAGATTCAGTGGGTTACGATAATTTTACCTGGAAATCTTTAAAGGAACATCAGACTCCATAGCACTATTAGTCATGCGGCTCAAGCCCCGTGAAACTGTTTTGGTCCTTTAGAAATTTGACACCGGGCCTAAGATTGTCCGCCAGTGGAAGCCATAAGTCATGTGATCATAACTCCAATTGACAAGGTCCTTTACCAGTTGACGCCATTGGATAAAATTATCCTTGACTGTTGAACAGCCTCCCATGATTTCCGGGGATGTGTTAGAACCAAAAATGATTTGTAACCTGATCCAAGCAATAGGTACTGGTCACAGAACAGTATGGCAGGCTACGCACTAAAACCTTCCATGAAATTGTAAGAGAAGTCTCATTGAATTTAGTGGCCTAAAATACCATATGTGACACCACATTCAAGATTAATTTCCTCGACAGACCATAAACCATTCTCTTCCAACTTTTTGGAGGCCCTTAATTCTCAAATCGCCTCCTAAGATTGGCTACTATACATCACCAATAAACATCATTAGACCCTACTTACCTCGATGATATTCATCCCAAAGGCTATAAGTCATAGTTATACGATTCCTTCGGGGGACAGCAAAACATATCACCAAGATTTAGAAGATGTTCTCTTCAGGTTGTACATTTGACAATTACAATAAGTCAGGCATATGAGACTTTTAATGGAGGCTGATGGTGAAGATCAATGAAAATTAGAAGAAATTATCCTTAGATCCCATCGAACCTTATAAATTGCTGAGGATCTATAATGTGTGGTAGGACCATAGGAGTTAGGAACAAGATGGCATATAATGTCTTATAATCCTAAATATCACTCTTTGATGCCCATGCCCCATAGGGGTCTCCTTGGCTTTAGATGAAAAAATCTTAACTAAATTTGCATTCGGGTTGTCTAGTTGGCAGTATAGTGAAATGTGATACTAGAAAAAAGATTGATTGTGCATTTGTGCCATGCAAATGCTGCCAAGCCTGTTACACGTGTGCTGGATCATTTTGATAATTAAATCACCTGGAGTTGGCTGCCTGTACTCTTTCACAGTCTGTGCAAGAGGTGCTAGCATGTCATTTTGGTGATTGCATGCATATTGCCTTGATCTCTGGCATTTATGCCCCTTGAGGTCAATGCGTCATCACGTTTTAGCTTCTGTTGTGGTTATCATTATTTGAAATGTATGTTGTTCCTTGAAAATTTCCAGATTCTCCAGATCTCTCACTCCTGATTCGGAATAAAGGATCAGAGCCTGTAACTGTCACAATTACAGCTCCTGAATATGTTCAGCTGGAGGAAACAAAAGTTCAGCTTCAACAAAAAGAAGACAAAAAGGTAAATTAAAATGATGAAAATTTCTTTGGTTGCTTGTCAATATTATCAATGGCAGCCTTAGTAGGTCTAGGAAATTAATGTCTTGGGTTCGGAAATTTTAACATAAGCCAAAATGATACTACATCTGTTGCACACTAGTTTTAATGCTTATCAATGCACAAAGTCTTGAGTGGTAAGTTGTGGTTGCCGGTTGGCTTATATCAATCAATCCATCAAAGCCTTAATCCCATAAGTGGGGTTGGCTACATGAACCAAAAGTGATTATTCCGTATAGTCATCCACGAAAATCTTCCTCCTCTATCCCTTACGATCAAATGCCTCATCCTCATGCAAATTCATATACTTCATATTGTTCCTAACTTCTTCCCACCAAGTCATTTTCGGTATTCCTCTCCCTCGTTTAACCCTTCCATGGTCCCACTGTTCCACTCTTTGTACCGGTGCACCCTCGTGTCTCCGTCTTACATGCCCAAACCAACGCAGACGATCTTCCCTTAGTTTGTTTGCAATGCCTGCACACCCACTTTCTTGCGAATAACCTCATTTCTTATTCTATCTCTTAGAGTGTTCCCCCACATCCATCTTAACATACGCATTTCCATGACCTTTATCTTTTTGATGTGCTCATTCTTAGAAGCCCAACATTCTGTACCATAGAGCAACACTGGTCTTAGTAGAATTTCCCCTTCAACTGTAAGGGAATGTTTCGATCATATAACACTCCCGTGGCCGCTCTCCATTTAAGCCACCCTGACTTAATCCCGTGGGTCACGTCTTGATCATGGTGAAGTCCTTACAGTCCAAGCTCACTACATCATCGCTTGCCCCCTTCTGTGTACCAAAGCGACATACCAAATATTCAGTCTTACTCCAACTTAGCTTAAACCCTCTACATTCCAACCTTTGCCTCCATAGCTCCAATTTGGCGTTAACCCCATCTTTACTTTCATCCACCAAAACGATATCATTTGCAAACAACATACACCATGGAACCTCATCTTCAATTGACTTAAATTACTTCATATTGAATTGTCGATTGGCTTATACTACTTAGTAAATTAATTGAAAAGTAGATGTGATGGAAATGGTGGGGTACAAACTATATGTAAATTGTAAGTAGATGTAAAAGGAGATAGTTGATCCAAAAAGAGTTTTACTCAGTAAGAAATAATTTATATAGAAAGAATTTTAAAAAGTGGTGAGAGTGAGACCATGCCAAAACTTAAAGGAGTGTTCAACCTATTTCAGAACAAACGGGAAAAGGAAGTGCTCAGATTATTTTAGGCCATAGGGATTACATATAAAAATAAAAACCTAATATCTTAGTCTAGATTCCAAAACTACCAACTTTGGAGTGCGAATGTGCAATCACAATTTGAAAAGCTTCAAAAACAAGGCGAAATGATTATTTTAAAGTATAAGGGGGAGGGGGGGTTATAAAATGTGAAACGAAGGATTTTTTTATTAAAAAAAAGGTCTGGTTGATCTGAACCCACGACCTCAGAAAAGTGCGACACGCAAACTAAAGGCTCAACTTACCACTGACCTGCCTTGTATCATTCAGAGTGTTGTTGCTCAAAGTTGTTATATTTAAACTTTGCCCCAATAATTCGTGGGTTCATATGGTGTTCCTGTGATTTACCGAGTTGAAAGATGTCCTGGTCAAGAGATGAACTTGTGTATGTAATTGATTACTCATATTTTAGCTACTCGTTTAAAGCTACTCCAGGTTATCATGTATGCTGGTTTTTAAGCTTGCTTCTTTTGGCCAGTAAGCTTGACTACAGTTTTTCAGTCCATCTTGGTGACTTACTGCCTTTTTTCTTGGAGTGAAATGAAACAGGCTCAGTATTTGATTAGAAATTAAAGACAGCAAACCTCAAATTCTTGCCAATTATGAACTTTAAACAATCTATTAGAAGCAGTTTATGAAAATTTGTAAATTTGTGCTGGTCTAGAGACTCTAGATTATTTTAAGCCCTAAAAAAGTATTTGCCGTCATGTTTGACATGTTTTCTGTTTTCAAGTGCTGGTTGAAATGAATCCCATGCTATGTCTCCGTTTGTTGTTTTATGTGAAAATTCTTGTGGCCCTTTTTGTCTATCAGCATCCCCCCATCCTCCCTCTGATTATAAACATTTATTTGTTTGCTCTATCTCCCTTAACCTGATAAAATGTATTTATTCATTATCATCAGAAGTTTTATATACAATGACCAAATCCAATTTTTGTTCTGTAACCTTTGTCACATTGCCATTGTTACAAATGATTCATGAACAGAGACCCATCAGCATAATTCTAGGTTATTAGACTCTGGACACATTGTCAAATCTATTAATTCATGATATTTTGCTGATTTGTAATGTTGATTTTTAATCTTCATACATTGAGGTCTCAAAAAAGTCGTGTTTGACAAAAAAGAGAAAACGATGCATTTTAAATGCCTTGTGGCTTTAATGTTCAGTATATCAAATTTTTGATCTCTTATAACTCTTTTTTTTTTGCAGGTTAAGGTAACTGTGGCATATGAGGCATTGGATAGCTTAATTTTATTGACAACAGAGAATACCCGCTGCACCCTTGACTTCAAGGAGTTGATTCCACGTGATTCTAGAATAGAAGCCCGTTATGTTTTCAAGTTCAGATATTTCAGCAACTTGACCAGGATTCAGTGCATGATACTCTTAACCCTGTCTGCAATTTTGGTATTTGGATCAGCTTGGATGTGTTCTGGCATGTGTAAGAAGCTCTATCAAGGAAACGGGTATCAAACCATCAACACGGAGCTACCACTGTCAATAGTTTCAAAACTAGGTCCAGAGAAAGATGATAGTTGGGACGACAGTTGGGATGACCACTGGGATGACGAGGAAGCACCCAAAACTCCATCATTGCCTGTCACACCAAATCTTTCATCTAGGGGACTTGCTTCTCGACGCCTTAACAAGGAAGCTTGGAAAGATTGATTTTGCTCTACATCTCATTTTTGTTATAGTTTCAAATGCAAAAGATGGATGATCTAGAAGTTTTTTTGAGGTTACGTGGTAATTTATTAATTTTTTGCGTTCTTTCTTTTCCTCCTGTATCTGTCGATTACTTCGTATGTATTACATTCTAGACAATGAATTTGAGATGAAACACCGTGACAAGTCGATTCATTGTAGCCAATTGTAAAAATAAAAGTTTATGTATGTTTGACATTGTAACTTTGTTTCTATACTTATTATTCACCCCAAAAATAAGGGGAATAGTAAGAAATAATCCATTTTAATTTTACCGTTTTTACTGAGAATGAGAAAAGTGGACTAAAAATGTCATGGGGTCCTTGCCTTTTTAGTGAAATGCTTGATGATGAATGCACGTGTATGTTGTGACCTAAGTGGGCTTTAAATGACCTAATGACCCACACCAATTTGACGTAATGAGGTGGGTCATGACCCAAATAATTTAGCCTTAACAACTTCTTTGATTGAAGTGGGCCAGTTTTGAACGTTGTACATTGTTTTGGGTCGTTCCTCACGTGCAAATGTAGTGGGCCTTGAGGATTTCTAGATCCCCGCTTGGCCTTTTGCGGTGCTAGTCAAGACGTCCAATTATGATTGTGAAGGTTTCAAGAACATGTTAAATCATGAGATACCGTATATAGTTTTAGGTGTAGTAGAAGATATTTGATCTTAGGTTTTTGATACTAATATAATGTGTTTTTTATACTTTGTTATATATAAATGAAGACTGTATAAGAAATGTAACCTTAAATATTGAATTATATTCGGAATGTTACGGAAACAAATTTAAGGATAACAATAGTCAAGATTTTGGTATTATGACTATGTTGTAAAATGTAAGTAACCTAAATAGTGATTGTAAGCTTTAATCTCTTGATGGATCTTGAGAGTGAGGGCAGCTGAGGTGATTAAGAGCTTTTTTTCCGATTTCAAGAGATTTTAGAAGTGATTCTCACCATTCATTTTTGTGCGGCTCTCTAAAAGGAATAATAATTAAAAAAAAAAATCATCACCTTGGTTGTTGATGAAAATTAAGCTAAAATTAATTTACATTTAAGTGAAGAGACTGTTTCAAAAAAAAATGAAGAGACTAAGGTATGTATGTAACTTAACCACTCCCCCCCCCCTCTCTCTCTCTCTTGCAATATTTGTAAAAAAAACATGATGGTCATATTTGGTGAAAAGATAAAAGCTAAAATTCATCGTTTTAATTAATTTTGACTAGTTATTTGTATTAATTGATTCAACTAACTGATTGTAAAGTTGTTTGGAGTATACAAAATGACCAATAAAAAATATTATTATGATAAAATTTTGGGTAAAATGAAAAAATTCTCACTAAACACGTTTTATAAACACCAAAATTTTTGTGTTATATACATATTTGGTCAAATTGTACATGTTTTTATTTTATTATATTACATAAGAAAAAAATGTGGCATCTCTATAAAATTATAAAGAGATATACTTTATTGTATTTTGGTTGTGTCTTCATACGACGTATATCATGATTTCACATGGTCAAGTTACACGAATTGCACAGGATATATGCACGAACACATGCTACATGCACAATTAATGAAATGTTTCACAATGACACAAATATTATGCTCTCATTTAAACTGTTGGAGCCCTTGACCGATCTTCTTCTCTCTTTCGTATTTATGATCTTATTCGGTTTGACATTTATTTACAACTGTCAACCCCTTAGCTATTTTTAATTTATTTTGTGTTTGATTTATATAAGTTGTAAATAAAATAGACGCGTTTTTATAGTGCACATACATGATACTACATACGAAATACTACATAGAAGATTTGTTACCATAAAATACATTATAAAAATTAACGCTAAGAAAAGCATAATAAAAATTATTTCCTACTCATGATAAAGTCTTTTCATGAACTAAGTATTATGTAAGAATTTTTTTTAATGAATTTAGAAAGTCGCCTTACGAAGAAAATAAATAAAAAATGCTTATATAAGTGTTATCTGATACTTCCTTTGTCTATAAAAAATATTTAATATAAATTTCAATGATAATGAAATCTAATATTCTCTTCTTAAATATAGTACATAAAAAAAGATTACTTTGTAATCTTGTTTATCGTTTTAATGTGCCCAATTTCACAATATCAGCTTTTTTTAAAATTTACATTCAAAATTACACTAATAGAAGTGAAACAATCAAGTCAACTTCATAAGGAGTATATTTTAGGTGATTATATGATGGAAGTTAATAATTAAAGTAACACTATGAGTATGATTGAATTCAACTCTATATATCATGAAGACATCCAAGTAATGAACTGGAGTTGTCGATCAATCAATCAACTGCTTGAAATGCATTCAATCAATCAATCACACATGTTTAATGTTTGTGACAACGATTATATTCTGGTACTTGAATTGCCAGTCTTTTTCACCTAGACACCCTTGACCCATGCCTTCACTTCGACTCTCATCTCCATTGTTATTACTCGTATGTACTACCAGTTTATTCTATCTTAAGCTTTTAGTATATGAATTTAGCACGCAACTATATATATTGATAATGTAAACTTATCAATCAATATTCACTATATCATTGAAAACGTTAAGTTGGATATGTATCCATGTACGTGCTAATAAAAACTACACACCTCATTTGATTATCTTTATACGGAGTAGCCATTTAATTCAAGAAAAATAAGTTTATACAAGGGTTCATAACTTATACAGAGTAATAAAATAAATTCCAAAAAAAAATGTTCATGAAATACCACTTAAATTTAATTGATTGATTAATTAATTTAGACAAGATGTATAAAACATAATTTATGTTTTGCAAGTATGTGTAGCTATTAGCTAATCCATGTTACCATGTAATGTAAGAAATAACCAAGCAAGTATAGTCTAGTGGAAAAATCATGGTTGTGGTTGTGGGATCAAACCCACTATATGTAAAATATACGTATACAGCATAAATCCTATTTTTTCAACTTTCAAGTATGGAGTATATATTTAAAGCGGTATCATTTTTTATTTATTTTATTATTTTTACAACGGGTAAAAGAACATACTTCAAGCTGATTAAAATAACACAAGAGTAAAAAAATTTGAAATCTGTAGTTAACGTTAAGCTTGATATACCTAGTTTCATTTGTCAATTGTCATGAATTGCAAGCAAAACTTTTATCTGCCCTTAATTGCGCAATTATGCTTGTTTATGGAACTTCATCAAAAGAAAGTCTATATATATGTAAATTTTAAAGTCTGATGTGACACGCAAGTTTGGCTTTAAATCTATATTCTTAAAAAGAAATTATTTTATAGATGATTATATGCTAATTTAGATTAAATTAGTAATATAACACGATGAAACTTGGAAGTTAAATGTAAAGCTCGTGATTAAACAATTAATCCATACTTCGTACTAGTTTACCCAATGGAATAAATCTCACACACGACCTTTAAACTAGCTTAATTATTACTTTTGGAAACACAATACTTGCACGTTGCATTTTACCAAATAATTAACTACTGTGCTAAACTTTCATCCTCTCCTCTTTGTCTCCTTTATATAAGCAAGAAAATCATTAAAAGTTAAGTTTCATTAACAGGCCAAAAGTTATGTAATTATGTAGATTGTAAAACTTCCTAAAATAGTAAAAACAGGATATTTTGAGCCTTATTAATTACACTGAAATACTCTTAAATAGTATTGCCAAAACGCTGCGGTTAGAGCTTAATTATTAGCACGTGATGTAGTGAACGTGGCACTTTGTGTGATTGAAGCACGTGCAACGGTGTCGCTTTACAATTTTGTGTTAGTAGGAAACACGTGGGAATAGGGGCCCACTTTTATGGTAACGTGGCACCTCCATTTATTCGCCGGTTTATCAGGCCGTATTTTACCATAAAATACGATTACATGACAACTAGTGTTAAACAATACGAGTATTACTCCCTCTGTCCCATTAATAGTTAGAATGTTGAGGTGGACATGTAATTTAAGAAAATTACAAATGGGTCCATTTAAAATATTTGTTTACTATATAAAAGATTCTTTTTTGTATTTTTATATTGTAAGAAAACAAAAAGTGTGGGAGGTGGAGGTAGTGATGAGGGAGAAAATGTAGGATTTAATTGGGTTTTGGTGTTTGTGGTCCCAAAGAGATTATAGCAAAATATATTTTTATCAGTGGTCCCATCCCATATTTAGTAACGTGTCAAGTATTTTGGGACGGACGAAAATGGTAATTGTGTCAAGTATTATGGGACGGAGGGAGTACAATAGTTTGATGATATAGCACATTGGAAGATCATTATTTATATTGTGTTTTATTCTTCTAATTTTCATAAATTTGATATTTTAGAAACCATTTGAATTAGTTCGTTAATTGAAAATCTAGAATGGAATAGAATAAAATCTCATACTGATTTAAAGTTGTTTCGTTCATTTGCCATAATAGTTTTTACTGTTTGCCAATGACATGTATTGTGAATCTTAGAATGTAAGGTAGATATAGAAGTTTGTAGGGGGGATGACCATGGGTAGAATTATCATACCCTTCTTGATATGAGGCTTCATAGCTAAAACTCTAACCAAATAATAAAATTGATGGAAATGGATTGTAACTTCATTCTTACCCCTTCTAAAAGGTCCAATCAAACAACCTCTCAATTTAATTAAAAATATAAATACTTAACCAAACATTCAGAGTATACATAACAATCGTAAATTAACAGACTTACTTCATATATTATTTCGAAAATTATTAAGATGAATTGATATAACAAGATCCCAGCATATCTCGGTCAGTGTGTGAATGATGGATTACTCTTACAATAACTAAACAAACATATGCAATTAGCTAAGCTTGACAAATGGATTAATGGAATATCTGTATGCTCTTGTACAAGCATATAGACGAGCATACATTTACAAAAGAGGTAGTCAACAGATTATGAAAGGTAATAGGAAAGTATATAAGTATGCTTAGGATTGTGAACATTATGGTACGTTTAGAAGCACCAGTATTACTAGTTAACCTAAATATACGTAATACTATGCATTATAAATACTTGTGAATGTAGATGCAATAATTTTTTTATTTTAACATAAGCATATATATAGACCGTATACAGTAAATATTTTACTCCGTTATTTCCTAATAGGGAGACAAAGAAACTTGAAAACAGTGGTTAAACAAGGAGCATGAATTGTCACAAGACTCACAAGTAGGATTCGGTTATCTTGGTAACATGCCCCTGCCCGATAATCCAAAAAGTGCCGTTGCA